TCTCTCTGCTCCATTACCTCATCTACAATGCAACCGCCTAAATAGCTATAAACCATCACTAGGACTGGCAAAAATGCACTAAAATTATGTAATCCCCTCCTCCAAACATGTTCTTGCCATGTTCATTATCATCCACGCAGTTACACACACACACACACACACACACACACAACCCTGGAAGTCAACTGAGCTCTCCCCCTTCCCACCCTCTAAAAGGCCCCACCATGTCTTCTTCCTTTAACTCCTTTGGCTCATGTCTCTTATCTTCCCCAGTGCCTGTCAGTCTCATAAATGACTTTCCTGCATCCTTCCTTCAAACAGGTGCTGTCTTCCTTAAGTTCAAATATTCATCATCTCTTGCAAGGCACAGCACTGGCTTCAGGATAATAATCTAAACAAAAACTAGCAAGATGTGCAAAGTTTTTCATGATGTGCACTTGTCTACCAGCTGCTCCAAGCCTGGAATTCTGACAGCAGTGTCTTACCAATTTCACTAATTAGCTAAGTATCTCACAGGGCTGTATTTCTGAGATGGCTTTCCCTCCAGCACTCTGACCCTGAAAATTCCCCAAGAATTACTTCTAGAGGGCCTTCCTGGTGGCTCAGGGGTTAAAGGCACAGCGCTTTCCTGGTGGCTCAGGGGTTAAAGGCACAGCGCTATCAAGGTATCAACCAGCCACTGCAACCTAAGTTCAATCCAGACCAGGGAGGTATCCCAGAAGAACAAAAGACCTCTCCTGTTTTTGCCCACTGCTCCCCTCAGCAGTGTTATTTCAGTATACCTGCCTGGTCTGCTCCCCACTTTGCTGAAATTTCTCACCTGGGGCCTGCACCCCAGTTCTTGTATGCAAAAATAAGTAAATAAAACTAAAAAACAAAGACTTCTAAGATACTTTTCCATACCTTTACTGGAACACTTAGCACACAGGACTTCAGAAACTTGTTTACTGCATCATCCCCTCTACTTTATGGTAACCTTTTTGCAGGGCAAGAATTAAGTTCTATGTTACCACCAGATGCTGACCGTACAGAATACAGAGAGGAGGAGAATTTACACATCAAAATAGTAAAATAGGAAATGGTCTCCAAAATAAACATTTAAATTTAAAAACTAATTTGTTGAAAGGCAGCATTTCCCTTAAAATTTAGCCTATAAATGGGGGAGGGGGTGGGGGGGTGAGGGGGAGTACACGGAAGTATGGTGATAGCACACAGGTGACCCGGGTGATGGGAAGTCCACAGGGATTACAACTGAGATGAGAAAAGGCACAAAATGATGTAAAAATAAACTATTATAACTTAAAAAAAATTAGTCTATAGACTTACAGAAAACAATGGAGATATAAGCAAGCATTTCTAGGAAATGTAAACCGAGTATTTTTTAATAGAGAAGATCACTAGTAAACAAAGGTTTTCATAATAACTAGGAGGAAAAATGTTTATTTCAAGCAAGCATGAGTAGGGAAAGAGGGAGACTGGGAGCATGGGGTTGGCAGAAATCTCAAAATGAGAGCTACTTAAACTCAGCATACATTAACTAAAAAGACATCAGGCCAAGTGAAACCTGTAACAGGTAGAAACAACTAAATACAAAGCTAGGAGCAAATTAGTTTTGTTGCAACTTTTGTTCAGATGCTTATGACTTTTGTTATTTCTGGTACAAAAAGAAAACCTCCCTCTCAGAAAACAAACTCCCTTCTTTCTGACTAGTCCCATTTCCATAACAGAAAACCTTAGCAGCACAATCAACTGGAGAACAAAATATTTTCAATACACAACAACCCCCACTCCAGGTCAAAACAAGTGTGGGAAATCCCAGACACTCTTGTGAGCAAGAGAAATCAGGAAGAAAGAAAATGGCATTTTCCAGATTTCTACAGGACTTTTTGATGTAAAATGGTTGAATCAGAACTGGAGAGCAGTGTTTTCCCAGAACCGGTTTCTGAAGATGGGGGAAGGGGCCAAAGACATTCATTCTACTGAAACGTAAGTGAATGCTTCCTAGGGCAGGTCACTGACCTAGGTCTGAGTTTTGTCTTTTGTAAAAGTCTACTTCCCAAAGTTGTCAAGACAACAACCAATATTTACCACACACATTACTTGCCTCATTATTTACAATCCCGCTAACTAGACATTATTATTTCACAAATGGGAAAACTGGATGTTGAGGGTTTTGGAATCTAGGCAGAGACCTCTGAACAACTAATGTGTGTTTCTCACCCTTTTCTCCCAGCATCTTTTAAGGGAAAAAGAAAATATCCTACTTTTAAAGCAACCTGCCATGTACATGGCATAGTAAATAACTTGGTGTTAACGGTCTTACAAAATTGGTTTACATTTCAAGTAAGCTTAATCTTTACCCATGAAAAATTTTTGCTTTACATAGAAAATCATTCCCATTACATTTAATTTACCAAAGTTTACACCATATGTGCGATTGTAAATGGAAAAAATTTGACCATCCAGATTCTAGTTCTATACAGTTAATAATATCTTACAACAGAGCCCTAAGGTCTCTGTCCACCCAAGGTTCTAAAATGTATTATTACTACCCAACTTACCACCTCCAACCCTCCACATTAAGTAATGCAAGAAAGCAGACATTCAACTCATTCATCTTGATGAGCCAAATGTCCATTGCATGTATCACTTAATAATAACTGAAACAGAAACCATTAAACTCTATATACTGTATTTGATATTTCCCACAATGTTTAAGTTCTAGCTGAAACTCGTCTATAAAATGCTAATAAAAGAAAACAAGTGGAAGAGTGTATTTGCAAATCACCTCACATGCATTTGAAATACATGACCCTGAAAATGAACTGCCCATGTAAAGCAATAAAGTTATTAAATCCAAATTTTTTCATTTTGTTGGCGTGTGCTTCCTATTCACTTCAGACATGTTCTGTTATCAATAATGATGGTTGCCTTTAGGTACTTGTAATTTGGTCAACCACAAACTTGAGATGAGTTTATTTAATGAAGCAATAAAAAACCCAAAAGAGATTTCTATTTGTACAAATTTTTCTTGGCATTTGTGGGTGAAGCATTTAAAGATCTTTCGGTAATGACGCTTTCACATTCTCTCTCTTAAACACGATCCAAATGACGGGGAAATCAGGCAAGAAGCAACAGACATGGCGCTGTCTAGACTGCAAGCAAACCCGAAATACCAAAGAAGCATCCATGTGTCAAACCAGCGTAATTTTTGAGCTATGCCTGGGGCCAAATACCTAAAAAAAAAAAAGGTTCCCTTGAAAAGAAAATCTTAGGAGGGGTAAGCAGAAGGTCAACCCCGGCGCACAGGAACTAGGAAGCAGTTAGTCGGCAGGGCTAGCCACTACCCGGTGTCATACCCCAGAGCAGCTTCCTCCCCAGCCCCCACATAGAATCTCCCAGAAAGGCCCAACTCCCTTCAAGCTGCTGCTTCAAGGTCATCCTAAGATAAAGGAGAAAACAATCCTCAAATGTAGAGCCAAGCAAGCCTTAAGAGCCAAGAAAGAAACGCCCCCGACCCCCCACATCAAATTATCATTATACAAAGATGCGAAACCTCGTTAGGTTTTGCTGTAACTCCGCCAGAAACAAACTCCCAGGCTTTAACTTACTTTAACTAAGGCAAGTAATAAACGTGCTCGATTTTGAAACAAACTACAAAGCTTTTCCAGTCTGGCAAACTACCGTTCAAAGACAGGTGCTTTCGTTGTACTTTTAAGAACAAGGTCAAATGTATCTTTCTTTATTAAAGAAGAGAGGAGGAGGCAGAAGTCCCCCCTGAGCTGCCGAGCGGATAGCTGGGGGCTTTGCGCCGCTCGCGGCGCAGCCCACCCCGGTCTTCCGACCGACCGCCGTCGCCAGGGATGAGGAGGAAATAAACACAAAGCGGGCGACGCGGATCCCGGGCACCAGGACCGATTCCGCACCGAACTGCCCCGGGAAACCACCCGGACGCAAACAAACCGGCCCCGCCCGCCCCCTCCAAGCCACACACACAAAGAAGCGGCGGAGTACGCCGCCCGGCCGGACGGCCATCCGGCCGGGTGCTACAGCCTCGCGTGGGCTTTCGGGGTGGTCGGTCGGGCACGGCGGGGTGTGGGCCGGGTGCTCGCCGTCCCCTATGGCCACCCCCGAGGCGGCAAAACGCCTCCCCGCCCGCGCCTCGCGGGCCGGTGGCCCGAACGCTCCGCCACGAGAAAGTTGGGGCGCCCCGCGACGCCCCGGCCTCCTCACCTGCGCGAAACGCCGGCCGCGCGGCCCCCACGCCCGGCCTGACGTAATTCAAACATGGCAACAGTCCCGACGCTCAAGGCGGCCCTGCGGCCCGGGGCCCCGCCGCCGGCCCCCAGAAGTTCCCAGCGCGGCGGGACAAAGCCCCACGCCGCCCGCACATGCGGCCCTTTGTCTCTCGCCCTGCGGCGCTGCCCCCGCGCGGCGGCTGCTGTCGGGGGTTCCCGTCAGGGGCCCGCGCCCACAGC